GACCTCAGAGACACCACAGCCCCTACCTCTACCCGCCACCTTACGCCCTGCCCCAGCATGCTTGTCTGGTCTGTCTGCAGAAGACCAGCCTTACCTCTCAGGAGAAGGCTGCTACCCCTTCCCTATTGGGGGTGGTGTTAGCTGCCTCCCAGCTGGCTGAAGCACGGTGACCCCGTGTACAAGGAGATTGAACTGGTATGACCCATAGGGTTTTCAGTGACTGGTTTTGTACCTAGACCACCAGGTCTTTCTTCCTAGTCTCTTGTAGCCCAAAAGCTCTGCTGAAACTTATTCAGCAGCGTAGCAACATGGGAGCTCCACTTGAGTGCCATTGGCCAGGAATCAAACTCGGGTCTCCCTCATGGAAGGTGAGGATTCTACCACTGCCCCCAGCACTAACCCAGACTCCCTACCTACTTCCTGAAAATCTTCCCAGAGGTGGAGGTAGTCCAGGCTCTGTGGGATGGCAATGGCTACGTACAAACAACACTGGATTTGAATCAGTTGGCAGGAAGCGGAGGCCCGAGGCTGAGGTCAGGCAAACCCACAGAAGACAGATGGTGATGTGTCTGAGTAGGGAGCTAGTGGTGCCCGCCATGGGGAGTGGGGGTCATTGTGGATCAAATTATGGCACCCCCATCCCCACCCCCAAGGCTATGCTAAACTCTAAACCCTATACGTGGGGCTCTAATCCCCTTGGGGAACGGGTTTTCTTTCCTGTGTTAATGAGGCGGCAGTCGTTCTGATATATGAAAAAGGAGATGAGTGAGCCAAAGGAGAGGTCCAGGTCTCATGTGGCCTTCGAGCAATAGAGGCTAAAAGTGGTCGGGGAGGAGGGGCTTCCTGGTCTATCTGCTTCCTCCCTCAGTAACAAAGACCAAGCCAAACGGAACTCAATGCTATCAAGTCCGTGCTGACTCACAGCGACCTCCTGTGGGCTTCTGAGACTGTAACTCTTGACGAGTAGAACACCCACACCCAGTGCTCCTCCTGAGGAGCTGCTGGTGGTTTCCAACTGCCGACCATGCGGAGCGCAGCCCGACATGGAACCACCACACCACCGGGGCTCCTTGCTGTAGCAATGACAGGGGTCCTATACGTATGACCAGGAGGGCACAGCAGGGATCGAAGAGCCAAAAAAAAAAGACGCAAGGAAGAGCCTGAGAAATATGTCCCAAGAAATGGCCCCGCTGCCTCCTCATCCCAGCAGCCCTTGCAGGAAACAGCACTGCACAGAAGTTGCCCCACCGCCCGCCTGCCCCGCCTCCCACTGGGTCCTGCAGCCCTACGAGCTCACAAAAGGAGGAGATGGGAACAGGTTTTGGTCACCCTGCACCGGACACTGGGCATGGCCCTTCCTGGGGAGCCTCAGAGGGCCCCAGAGCCCTGCCTGGTCTTCAGATAGGATGCTGAATCCTGCGGGGCCAGTGCACAGGTCAGCTGCCCTCAGAAGTGTCCTGACTTGTTCAACAATCCTCCCTCAGAGCTCCTGTGGCAATGACTGCCTCACCACTCCGCTCTGTGCTGGATGGCCACAAATAATTTATGGCGCAAAAGTCTCATCGTGCCAATAAGACAGTTGGCTTCTCTGCCTCTGAATCCCACGCAGAGCTTTTGCACAGCTGGGTGCGGTTGGTCATCATTAAGATCCTTCTGGACCTGAATCGTCCCGGCCCACCTTTCCGAGGCCAGTCTCCAGCCCTGAACCCTAGCCCCTGCACCTGGGGGACAAAACTGTCCCTAACCGCTCACTCCTCTTCGCTTTGTTAAGCGCTGGATTGACAGATATTAATGAAAGGGCAGGTGCCAGCCCCAAGTCTGTAGATGGGGCCATTAGCCTGGTTAAAAAATAAAAGCTCGGAGTTTCTATAGGTAAACAGGAACCAGCTATTAGCCAAATCTCTCATTAGGATATTCACTATAGCCCTCCTGTGGAAGATAGTCACTTGTAATGTCTAAGGCAGACCATGGATCTCAGTGAGAACTGGAAATTCGGAAGGATATTGCCTGAGAAGGGTGCCAGGATGAATCCCTGGGCCTCGTTTATGTCGCCAATAAAAAGTAGGGATGGCACTGTTGACAGGTGACTAGATTAAATGACCTTCTCGAGATACCTTCCAATTGTACGCTTCTGTGGAAACCGGAACCCCGTGATCACCCACGCCCAGCGTTGTGATGTTGTGATTTAGAGTGAAAAGGGCCAGAGGTCAAGCCAGAGGTCTGACACTGACTAGCTGGTTGGTCTTGGGGAAGTCATTTCATTCTCTGAACCAATTCTCATGGTTGGAGGGTGGGTCCACCCACGGGTGCCTCACGGGAAAGGGCTGGCAACCTGCTTTGGAAAAACCACCCACTGACAAACCCCACACGGGTCTCCTCCCTGAGCTGGAATCAACTGGGCAGCAGTGGGTTTTAAAGAGGAGCAAGCAGTAACGCTGTCTTCGCCAAGAAGATGCAGTGAGATTTACATGGGGATCCCGCGTGTGAATGTCGAGTGCGACTCACACGTGGCTGCGTCTCAGGAACAGGCTGTAAGGACTGCCGTGAATAGAAACCTCCCTTTACGTAAGCACTGTGCCCGGAGGGCATCAGAAACACACCTACCACCTCAACGGATGGGTTTGCTGTAACCTCATCCCTCCCCAAGGAGCCCTGGCGGCATATGAGGTTAGCTGTTGGGCTGTGAGGTAGTTAGTTTATTGTGCCAACCTGGCCGATAAACACACGTGGGGTTAATTGAAGGGCGGAGGGGTAAATGGCTTGGTGAGCCTCGCCTTTTTAGTTCTCGGGTCTCTTGCTTTGCGATGGTCAGACCAGGGTGCAGCTGCCTTAGCAGTTCCCTGCTTTAGCTCGCAAGGTTCACTTCCTGCAAGACATCCCAAGGAGAAGCCACATGGACCTACCCCGATGCAGCCCTGGGTGCTGGAGCAGCCGTATGGAGACCCCTGCCAGCACTGAGATGTTTACACGTTCACTGACTCGGCTTTCCTCCTGCAGTCGGCATTGTTGTGTCTGTTTTGTGAGATGGAGGAGGACTTTGTGGATTGGTGTTGGACATACGGGTTAATGGGTTAGTGTTGGATTTGTGGGCTTGGGCAGCACTGGGTTGGGATGTGCACTTAACCTTTACATAAAACTCTCTCTTATACATAAGTTTCTGTGGATTTGTTTCTCTAAAGTAGCCAGACTAACACAGGCTGCAAACCACTAGGTCAGCAGTTTGAAACCACTGGCCGCTCCACAAGAGAAAATAAGGCCATAACAGAATTGACTTGAAAGCAGTGAGGATTTGGGGGGTCTTCCCTAGGGGGCAGCTGCTCCATCACCTTCCCCTGAAACAGGTGCTGATGTCAGGTCCAAGACAGAGGCTCAGAGAGCCAAGGGCACAAGAAAAGGCAATGTCCTCCTCAGGGCGGCTCCTGGGTTGCTTGCCAGTTTGCACAGCCCCAGTAACTGACAGTACATTGGAGTGCTCATGCAAAGGGAGCAGACCCTCCAGGAATGAATGTGCATTTGTACCACCCTGCAAAGAATATGCTGAGAAATTCAAAAATTAGTGCTATTGAGAAGTGCTAATTGCATTTCTTTGGATAAGCACCATAAAAAATTCATTGCCTTTTTTTGTTGTTTTAGAAACAAGATGCCAATTGCATTTCAATTGCTAGAAAGCAGAGAGTAGGGAAGTCACTTAACAGGGGAAAATACTAACTGCGCCTAAAAAGGAAGAAAGGAGAAGTAAGAGGTGGGTCTTAAGGGGTAAAAAACAGACCTGTCCTAAAAGACCCACAGATTTCAGTGGTTCTCCAGCTCACAGCCTCGGGGCCTCTGGCTGGCTGGCTGGCTGGCTTTGGGGTGCAGATTGTGATGATGCAGATAAATAAACAAATGCATGCCCAAATTCTAAAGCTCAGGAGAGTCCAAGCACGAAGCTTTAAGAAGCATGCGTAAGAAGAACCCTGCCCTTTTTCTCCCTGACCGTGTTTGAGAGAGCTGGATGGAGGCTGCACACATCAGACCCAGAGAAGGGTCGATACACAGACACGTGTTGAGCACCAATGCGGCGGGAGGGCCCCTACAGGGGAGTGTTGAAAGGAAACAGGGATCTTTCTCCAGAGCCAACAACAGAGGAAGAGAGCTCTCTCCTAGAGCTAAGGTTTTCTGTGCAAGCTTGTAGCTTCCTAAACTGTGCAAGAATAAACTTTTGTTTGCTAAAGCCATCAGTGTATTCATGTGTGGTATTTTTGTCGTGGCAGCACTAGATGCTGGCGGGCCAGTTTGGCCTGTGATCTTCCTGCACCCCACTCCACCTTTCTGCATCGTCCGCCTGCAGCCACTGTGAAGAGGGTTCTGGCTAGCCGCAGAGCCATGGACTTAAGTTGGACTGGGCTGGGATATAAATTACTTCTTGATATAAAACTTTCTTAAATATTAAAAAAAAAAAGACTGCATATGTCACTTCACGTTTAATAACAGACCTCTCTGGACCAGGTTCCAGAACGGTAATTTTACAACAAACTCCTTAACTCCTATTCTCATCTTCTGTTTTAAAAATGCTCGGGCCCACGGCAGGGCCAGCCAGAGCTGAGGTGAACACAGCAAGTGGGTCTTGACGTAAGGACGGGTGGTGAGAGGGGGCGACAGGAAGGTGGGGTGGACCCTGACCTCCACAAGCTTGGTCTGGACAGGCTCAGCCTTGACCCCGTCTGCCCAGGAGTGCCCGGACTCCTGCCCCAGGCACTTGGCCCTTCCGAGGTCTCGGGGAGAAGGCAGCACTGGGGCATACCTGAGTGTTTCACTTCCTGCTGCCCGCTTCGCGGCAGCTCCTGCTCTCTCCTTCCCACACATCCCTCAGCACCCAGCCCAGTCCCAGAAGCTCCTCTCTCAGAGTCACTCCAGGGAGCCAGCGAACACACCCACCCCTCCTGTCACTTCTGACTCCTAGTGACCTTAGAGGGCCGAGTGGGAACTGCCCCGGGGGTTTCTGAGAGATAAGTCTCAGCAGGAGCAGTTAGCCTCATCTTTCGCCCTCAGTGCAGCTGGTGGTTCCAAACAGCTGACCTTGTGCTCAGTAGGCCAACGTATAACCCATACACCACCAGGGCTCCTTTCTGGTGAGAAAGAGGGACTGAAACAGAGCCTGTGGCCAAGTGTCCAGGCTGTGGGTGATGACTGTCTCTCCGTGGCCTGGTAGCAGCAAATCCGCACCTCCTGCATCCTGATACTGAGGCTTCTCTTCCATCTAGTGGACCTGCAGAAGGAAACCCAAGACACATGAGGTTGCTACTCAGGGAGATTGGAGGGAACAGGGCAGTGGGGGCGGGGGGCGGGGATGTAAATATAGAGGAGCTTAATTCACAGTCTGGCTGGGCACCATGTTTACCTTGATTTCTCTCTCTGTCAAATGGGCTAATATATCTGCTCCTCTAGATGCAGATAACGGGAAGAGAGAGTATACGAATGAATCCTTTATTCCCATATACTAAGAAGCCTGGCAAGCTGGGTTTCTGGGGGTGAAGGGAAGCCTTCACCCTTGTGAGTTTGAGGTGAGTCCCAATCACGTTCTCATCATTAATATTGTTTCCCACTGTATCCTCCCGTAACAGTGCTACCTTCAAGTTACCTCTTACAAGCACCTGGCTGATTGCTGGGTAGCTTTATCTATAGGAACAGACACATGCCATTGCTCACTGGACTCTGAGGACAGCCGCTCCCCCTTTCCTGACACTGGTGTTAGGTTACTCCTCCAATATACTCAGGAACCTTGAGGGTTAGGGTACAGCCCACTTGTCATGAATGTGGTTGCCTGTAATTAGCAGGGCTTGCACACCCTGCTGAATGTATATAAACCTTGGTTGGATATATATTCTCTCTGCCTGGATCTGGCTCTTGAAGCCATGATGGTCCTAAAGGTGAACACTCACATGCCTTCTCTTGTCTGATGTCTCTTTAATTTTACCTCTCAATTACACAATCGCTCCTTGGACCCATTCGATTGTGGGGCTGGTACCCCACACTTCTAGCTTTTTATCAGGTCTGGGTGAGAATGCACATGTCCCCAATAAACTCAAAGGGGCATTACCTAGAACCCCCTTGTCACCTCTGTGCCCACTTTGACAAATATATACACATATGCTTTTCATTCCTAGGCCTGGCATTTGTATAAAGTACTCGGTACCAGGCGAGGTGCTGACCCGCTTCTCCTCCTGCGGCCCCTCCCATTGATCATCCGACACTGGCCGGCTTCCCAGTGTCAGATTCCCAATGTGGGGCAGAATGAATTCGGGGCCAAGCCCAAAGCACTCAGTGCCCAACTCTTCCCTGTGCCACAGGGCATGCGGGCCTCAGCGCCCACGGGGGAATGGTGGCTGTGAACAGACACATGACCAGCACGTGTGCATCACGCGCCGGAAGCCTCCCCTGTGCTGAGCCTTTCGCAGAGCTCACCCTGCTTCAGCAGGTAAGGCAGCCACGATGCTGCTCCCCAAGGCCACCCAGGAAGGGGCCGATGTGGGCGGCACCTTTGGTCTACCCTTTCCAGGAAATGTTTCGACTCATTGAAATCCAATGGGTCAATTTTAGAAACTCCTCTGCCCACTCTGAGGAGCCTCCCCCCTATCCCCCTCCCCAGCCCCCAGCTGGCTCTAGTCCATGGGTGCAGCAGGTCATTCTAAACCCCTCTGCCAGCCCTGGTGCCCCCAGCTCACCTGTGCAGTGTCATGGATCCAGTCCAGGAAGGCGGCTACCTTGGCATAGACTCCAGGGTGGTTGGGCTCTGCACAGCCATGGCCCCAGCTGACCACCCCCACCAGGTGCCATGTGCCCCCATCCGGACACACCAAGGGGCCCCTGCTGTCCCCCTGAGGGTTGCAGAGGAAGCACACATTAGCCCTTCCCTGTGCAAGAGCATCAGGCCTCCATGAGGGTCAGGGGGAACCTGGACAACCCTTCCTGGCCGCCTCCTACCCTGATACCTTGCCTTATATGCCTTGCCCCATATAAACTCCTCAGGAGCCCTGCTGGCACTGTGGGTTAAGCCTTGGGCTGCCCGCTGCAAGAGGTTCAAACTCACTCACTGCTGCCAACAAGATAGATGAGGCTGTCTGCTCCCACAACGTTTTCTACCCTTGAGAGAACTGGTAGACCCCAAGCAGACCTGGTCCCAGGGGTTCGCTATGAGTCAGAGTCAAGCCAATGGCAGTACGTGGGTGAATGTAAACCCTCAGGGACTGCCCCCTCCTCTTTGAGTGACTGCCTCACATCGACATACTCAGGCCAGGGTGCCCAGCCACAGCAGGCCCCTGTCCCCGCTGTCCACCCCTGGGCCCCTGGCAGGGTGGCTGCACCTGGCAAGCATCTGCCCTTCCATCCAGGTAGCCAGCGCACAGCATGCGGGGAGTGAGCGCCCCGCTGTACATGCAGGAGCTGTTGCAGAGCGGGGTGCTGACCAGGGGCACCATCGTGTCTTGGAGTGTATCGGAGCTGTGTGCTGCAGGGACACAGACAAGCAAGGGCTTCAGAGAGCCCACTGCGGGAGCTCGGGACCCTGGGCAAGGAGGCAGGAGTCTAATTGGATGTGGGGGTCAGGATCAGAAAGAGGAGGAGTTGGATTCACATTCACCCCAAATGCTGAGGGCAGAGCAAGCCTGAGGCAAGGAGGGGAGCATCAAGGGACCAAGGTTTGGGGAAACTTGTGGGCGGTTCTCCCCAGAAAGGCTCAGCCAGGGAAGACGGTGCCTCAGGCCTGGCCAAGAACAGTGCCAGGGGAGGGGAGGGTGCCTCAGCCTGAGGAAGAATGTTTCCCCCATCCCACACACCACCCTCCTGCACAGAGGGCCCCGGGAGCTCACGCACTATGGCTGGGGTCGGTGTGGCCCCAGCCCGACACCCAGCAGTCTGAGCCCCTCGGGAAGTGCTGCTCCTTGGCCGGCAGGCACACGGCGCCCACGGTGTCTGTGGAGAAGCCAGAGGAAACCCAACAGGTCGGCTTTAGAAGCTCCGAGAAAGAGGCCCTCGTCCCACTCAGGCTCAGCTTCCATCCCCCAGAGCCTGGGCCGGAGGACACAGGCTTGGCACATGCCCCCACACTTCTCCACAGCCCCACGGTCTGCCATCATGGGCTGGGACTTCCAGCCACTGGGCAAGTCATACACTGAACCGCTTAGGGGGCACCATTCTCCCAGAGGACCCCGGGTACACTACAGTGGGGGTGGACAGAACATCAGTGGCCCGCTTACATACACATTAGCCTAACACAGTCCTGTGGGGTGGTGGAGGGGGAGCGGGAGATTTCTCTTGGGCACGGGTACCCAACTTCTAATGCCACCTTGTGTGGGAATCTCCCCAAGGTGTAAGGTTTTACTTGGCAGTGCTTCCAAATAGGCGTGGCTTGTCCCACCAATGGAGCCCAAGCCTGCTGTGAAATAAATACTGATTCACCTGAGGAGAACGCGTTCCTTTCCGAATTCCCTTTCACTCTCTCACTGCGTCTAGAGAGAAGACTCAGCCTCCCTGAGGCCCTGAGCCTCGTGCCTGAAGGGGGGCCTGCGAGCGGCCCAGGCCGTGGCCCGGATGGAGGTAGAACTTCGCCACTGTTCCACTTTCATGTGTCACATGCCTGCAGTTACTATCATTCATTGTAAGTCGCAGAGGTTCTCTGACTAGGTAGTGATCCAAAGCTTCCCTGGGGATTACATCTATCTACGTCGATTTTTTAAGGTTAGCTGTTTAGAGAGAACACCTATAGAATAAATTATGTGACTAGAGTGTGATTGGGAAACCCCAGGCTACAAGTGGGAAGGGAGAGGGGAATACTGAGTGTCTGTATGTGTGTGTGTGCTGTGTGAGTATGTGGGTGCATCTATGTGAGCCTGTGTGTATGTGAGTGCATGTGTGTGTGAGTGTATGTTGGTACAAACTTCAGTGCATGTGCATGGTGTCAGTGTGTATGAGTGTGAGTGCATGCATGTGTGTGAGTACACGTGTGTGTGTCAGTGCCTCTATGTGAGTGTATAAGTGAGTGCACATGTGTGCATGAGTGCTTGTGAACGTGTCTAGTCTGTGTGTGAAGGTGTGAGTCGGAGTCTGTGAGTGTATGCACGTGCATGTGTCCATGAGCGTGCGCGATGTGCGTCTGCGGGAGTGCACGTTGGCGGGCAGCGTGGCTGCAGGGTTTGCGCTGCACTGGCAAGGGCTAGCCAGAGGAGCACTGGCCCTGGAGTCAGCGCAGCAGGCCGGAGAACCGTGGGCTGCGTGACCGTGCAGAGAATAGCTTCCCACCTTCCACTGCAGCATCTGGATCTGCCTGTGGGGCATTTTACAAAATGGTCGTGGTCCATAAAAATGACCAGGAAGGGGGCCAGGCTGGGAGAGGTGGGGGCGGGCTGTCTGCTGCAGATGGAGCAACTGTGAAGTTCGGTGTGGGAGCCCCAGGCCAAGCCCTGGTACAGTCCAGCATGATAAGCCTGTGAACCGTGGTCTCCTGAGGAGCCCATACACAAGGTGGGACAAGCGTCGATCACAGGAAGTTCCGTGCTCGCCGGGGCAGGAGGGTTCCTTGGAAAGCTCCTGCCCTCTCTTCCCACCTAGGCCTGCTTCTCTCCCCCTAGAGCCCCAGCCTCACCGGAGAAGTTGAGTGGGGACCGCAGCTGCAGGAGGGCGACGTCGTAGTCATGGTTCCGGGCGCTGTAGAGTGGGTGCGGGATGACCCTCTCCACGACAGCACCCTGGTGCGGCCTGGCCGCGCTGTGGCTGACCAGCCCGGCATGCACTCGCCAGCTGGACAGGCGGGACAGCCTGAAACTGGACACGGGTGCCCGCTGAGACCAGGGAGGGCTGAGCCACAGGAGGTCAAAGTCAGGGAGGCGGAGGGCAGGGGACGCGGTCCAGAGAGGCCACTTGTGAAGGTTCTGTCACTTCCAGAACACGAGGGAACTTCAGAAGGTTCGTGGACAAATTCCCTGGTCTTTTCGTTCCATTTCTCCAGTTCCCTCCTACAGGAACTTCGCCTGTAACTATCCTCCCTGGACAGCTGGCAAGAGACTGAGCCTGCAGTAAGTGCTTTCTGAATGCTCGGTTTGACGGACGGGAAGCAAGACGCTCTGAGCGATTTTAAGAGCCTCCGGTTCCAGTCCCTGCTCTAGGCCCTGGAGAGAGAGCGGTGGGGAAACGCAAGACTGAGAGCACCCTGCTCCCCGGGAGCTTCCGATCTGAAGGAGAGGGATGTCCAACAAGTCATTCCATGGGGAAGGATTTAATCAGAGGGGAGAAACTGATAAGCAGCAGGGCGCTTGTGAGTGCATCTTTTAAAAGATGTAAAACTGGACAACACAGTGCACCGAGCTTTGTGGTCTGTGGCGTCCCTGCACCACACGCAGGCAACGTCACAAATGCCACCCATGCCCATGAAGATCAGACCCCTGGATGAAGCTACCCCAGCAGGTGAGTCAGCATTCTCCCGGGCCCCGCCTCCTCCCGCGCCCGCACGGGGACTTGCCTGTGTATGCAGTGTGCCGCAGTCACCACCCAGTGGGGGGCTAGCACAGAGCCCCCACATGTGTGCCGGGAGCCCAGGACCAGGCTGACCTGCCACGGCCAGCGCCCAGGAGCCACGGGCTGCCCGCCCACTATCCTGGAGGCCAGCGGTCGTGCCCCACACTCTGCCAACAGAGAAGGATGGAAAGAAAGCAGAGAGAGGGGGAGGTGGGGATCAGCACAGTCCTCTCAGGGAACGTGGCCCAAGGGCAAGACCCCCAAAAGCCAGGTGGGCAGCTCTAGCTTGTTATCTGGGGTCCTTGGCATGGGAATCTGGAGGGCAGAGATGTAAATCATTTACGTGATACCCACAGCTGTCTGTCCCATCAGGCTGTGCGCTCTGTGAGGAGAGGAACCGTGGCTGCATTATCCATGTAGCTCCTGTGTCTAACACGGTGCCCGACCACTAACTCAGACAGATATTGACACAGAGTGTCCCCACAGGATGGAGAACTGCCCCTGTGGGTTTCCGAGACTGTAACCCTTTATGGGAATAGTAAGCCACATCTTTCACCAAAGAATAGGAGGCCACTGGTTCCCAGCATGGGTGAACAGCCTTGGAAACTCAAAAGGATAGTTCTCTTGTGGGTGGAATTGACTCGAGGGCAGTGGGCGTGGTTTGTGGTCAGAGGGGTTCTCTGAGTTGCATCCACTCCGTGGCCGGGGCTAAAGGAGACCTGGTGACTCAGACAGTTGAGTGTTCTGCTGCTGACAAAGCTTAGAGCCCAGGAGCAGCTCCAGAAGCCCTATGTGATGGCCCAGAGACCCCTACGAGCAGTCCCACTCTGACACCCGGGGTCCCTGGGAGTAGAGACCAACCCCAAACAATGACAGGCTACCATGAAGCTGTAACAGGCTACTCAACACCCAGCCATAACTTCACCTTTGCCTGGAGCTTTTCCAGAAGAGAGCAAGTGATGGTGAGAGGCCATCACTTTGGCCCTGACCAGTGGCTGAGGGGGAGACATGGCTTAGGCGGGTTGGGTAAACATTGGACTGCTAACCCCAATGTCAACAGGTCAAACCCACCAAGCCACTCCTCGGGAGAAAGATCAGACTATCTGCTCTCTGAAATAGGGCCACTGTGAGTCAGACTCTGTTCAGTGGTGGTGGGTTAGGTTTGATGTCTGCAAGAAGGGGCTGAGCAGGTAGATGGGGATTGGGCAGTACACCCCAACCCAGGCACAGCTGAGTTTCACGAGGGCTCTCCCCGCAGACCAGGGCAGGGTTCAGAGGACCCTTACTCCCACCAGCCCCTTCCTGGGCCCAAGACGTGACTCACCAGAGCACTTGAGAGAAACAACCTGGCCGGAAGGGCAATTGCTCCTGCAAAACAGAGTACCAGCAAGAAGCTGGGCAGGGCCCAACACGAGACAACCGCCCTCCCCCCATGGCATGAAGAATAGGAGCAGTTGGTCAGGGGGAGAGGAGAGTGAGCCTTTCTCAAATAGTCATAGCCTTAAGAAAGCTACCATTTTCTCCCGCCCCTCTCCACTCCATTCCACCCCCCTCACTCCTACCCCCACCCAAAGCCCCTTGTCATTTCCTCACAACAAGTTTCTACAAGACAACAGCACGTACTCTGAGCGGTAAGAACAGGACTTCACAGCGCGTGAAGGCAATTTGTTCAGGACCCATATTTACAAGTGAAGCGTTGATAAAAGAGGAATGCATAGGTTCCCCTCTTTGTTCCTGAACCGGTGAGTATGTGCTGTAAGTGGGAAGGAAGGAAAGAATCTCACTAACCTACCCGCCTCAGAAGCCCTGCCTGGGTTGCCGCACCTTCCAGTGAGTGCAGGAATGAACTGGGCCCGTTGCCCACACTTCTTCCCAGATGCACTCTACTTTCTGTTCCCAGCTCATCACTCTCCTGAGAGACTAGAATGAGCCACAGCAGGAGTGACCGGGTGGAGACAGTATTTCATCTGGACACAGAAACCTGCTTTCAAGACTTGGTCTGGCCGGTCGTTAATTGTGTGGATTTTTAGGGGTTTGGATAAGGCCCTTTATCTCACAGGTCTTTCATGTCCCTTGCCTGCAACGTGGGATGACAGTTTCAATGTCAATAATAACCAGCCCTGCATGCCTTGCGAGAGGTCCATTAGACCGTGCGTATGAAGTATGAGCTGAGTGTCACCTGATTGATGCACATTCTTCTTTGTTATCCTCTTGTACAACCAATGTTCCCACCACCCCACTCCCACACACACCCCTAACCTCCTCAGAACGCCTACCTGGGCTGCCACGCCTCCTCCAGCAGGACCCCCGGTGCAGGAGAGAGCTGAGCAAACTCCTGGGAGCTGTTGAGCGTGATGTCAGACAGGTTCACACCCTTGTGGTGAGTAAGTCTGGGCAGAAGGAGGGGCAGAGGGACAGGAGCACATTGGCTTGAGTGGCAGAGTTCTGTACAATGACCAAGCAAAAGGATGGAAATGGCTTCCGGGGACCTACTCGTCTTTGCTAAAGAGCCAGGGGACTCCAAGAAAAAAAAAAACAACAAAAAAACACAGGTGGGCTTCTTGTGGCCCCGAGGCCAGGTGATAGTCAGAAGACCACTGCCATATTGGTGACATGTGGATCAACATCTCCCACCAGCCCTCCACCATCCCCTGTGCCCACATCCAGTTACCTGAGGTGCCCGAGGCTCCGGCAGACCTTCTTCCCCAGGGCCAAGCTCCAGCCCTCTTGGCACACCAGGAGCCAGGCTGGCGGAGCCCTCCCCTGCACTTCCAACAAGAAGTCTTCGGGGGTTATCCTGAAAGACACTGAAACCACAGCATGACCCCCCAGCCCATCGACTGCCGGGAGAGCCAGGACGAGCTCGGCCTGACCCCAGCGCCTCAGGTCGCCTGAGAACAACTCACGCCTGTGTGTGTTGCATCTTGGTTTTGTGGTCTAACCAACCAAGTACTTCTGTCAAGTGCGCTCTGCCGCCGCGCTTCAGGGCAGGAGCACCACCCTCCTCCCTGCAGAGGGGAAACGTGGGCACCAGTGTCAGGTGACTAGCCCAAGATCACAGAATGAGGACGGGATGGACCCAGGTCATAAGTCCAAGTCTCCTGATTTCCAATCGTGTTCTAAACGGAGGAGCCATTGCCGCTGATGGAGTGTCTGCTCTTTCCACACAGGTATATGAGCTCATTTTATTCTCGCAACAACGTTGTGTGGTAAATATTTGTATTCTTCTGTTCTAGCGAAGGAAATGGAAGTGCAAACATACAATGTGCCCAAGGCCACGGAGCTAGAAAAGGCAGACTCCTTATCTGCTGCTCTGTGAGAGGTTTTCTAACCCCCCATCTCTGGGCAGCATTACACCCTGACCCCCAACTCCTAGCTGGAGGCATGAGCCATAGGAGGTGTTTGGAGTGATGTTCCCAGCCCTGTAAGTGGGCACAGGACAAATCCCCCTGATGGCTGCTTGGCTCCTCTTCCCCCATAGCTACTGACTCACTCGAACCTAAATGGCCAGCCCCCCTCCCTCCGGGCAGCCTGGACTCCTGGTTGTGCACCAGCAGGAAGTCAGGCAAGTCCCGCGTCAACTCAGGAGCTGCAACTGCACCCCTCCTCTCATGCTGGAAGAGAAAGAGACAATTGGGCAGCAACAACTGGATGGGCCTCCATTTTGGTCCTCTTGGCCCAGAGAGGTGAAGGGGCTCGAGGTGGGGAAGGAGACTGGAAGCCTTGAAAGTGGGTGGCCCACCTGCTTTGGGAGGAGAAGGAAGCAGGGTGTCCTCACTGATGGCCCCCAAGCAGTTTAGAGACATCTCCTCATCCTGCAAGTTCCCGGAAGCAGGCTGAGGGGCGGCTGGCCACAGGTACAGCACTTGGGAGGAGAAGAACAAAGGGCGGGTCACAAGAGGAGGCTGGGGAGGGGCGGGGAAGGCTCTCAAAGGAGGGATACATGGTCCAAAACAAGATTCCCTCAGGCCGAGACAAAAGCAACCACCTACAGGCAGTCCCCCACAAACCTGCCGAGGACAGGCATGCCCTGTCTCATTGGGAAGCATTTCTAGGAAAAGTGTGACCAAAGCCTCTCTGGGTGACCGATTCGGAGAGCTGGCGCTCCTCGGGCAGGGCTAGCACGTTCTTCTTGGTGCAGTGTCTCCCTCCCTTCCTCGTGCTGCAATGTCACCCCTTCCCCCTCGTTTACTCAGGGTGCACGAGGAAGCTGTTCACACAGCGTCGACATTCAGCCCCTGCCCAGCACCTCCTCCTCCCGTCCAGCCTCCCCCAGACATTGCTTTGGTCCCTCCCCAGGCCGCAGAGGGGGCCCCAACACTGACCTAGAAGCCAGGAGCCAATGCCCACACCAGCCAGCAGCCCCAGGACTCCTAGGGCTGCACTGCCACGCCGCACAGGGCACCAGTGCCCCGCCTGAGAGGCTGGAGGAGGGTAGAAAAGGGTCCGGGTTCTCACTCTTGCCTGCCAGCCAACTACACAGAGGTACCACCGTGGGGTTCCGTACCCCTCCCTGTGCCCCACCCACTTCCCTTCCCCCATCATCACTAAGTTCACAGAGCCTAGAGCCTTCCGGTAGGTCATAGCTGAAGCCCCAGAATGAGAATCTGTGCCCGGGAGTGGGCACAGATCTAGGGAGGGATGCCCAGGGAGATGGCCTCCCACCCTCAATCATTCAGGGCTGACCCGGAGGATCCGGGAAGAAGAGAAGCCAGAATTATGGGAAGTATGTTCTTTCACTCCTCCCACCCCCATCATTCCCCTGTGATCAGTCTGGCCTACCGGGCTGCTGATGGGTCTCAGGCTTCCATGGTGGGTGTCCTGGCTCGGCTCTGGAAATCCCAGGTCCTGGGACATCCTCTGCATACTGGGCTTCTGCACGGGCTTGGTCACCCAGCATCAGGTTCTGGGAAAACAGTTGTCAAACATCAGGATCCATTCCCATATCAAGTCTCGCAGAAGGAAATCACCGAAATATGTTTCCCACCCTCTAAGGTGAAGTTCCCATTCTCTAACCTTGGCCATGCCTTCATGGGCACTTACTGGCCTTTAGTCATCTTGAGGACTCCCCAGACCCCCCTCTGTTCTCCTGGAAACCCTAAGCCCACTCACCTCACTGTCCCCCAGCTGGAAAGTGTCAGAGCAAAGACCTGATCTAGATTTGGCCAACTCCAAAGCCCTGTGCAGGCAGCATTTACCTGGGCCCCCAATGCCCCTACTGAGGCCTCCAGAGCCCACCCTCCTTCAATCCTTCCTATCACAGAGGAAAATCACTTTCTCTCTTATATCCAGCCACCCATTCATTCGCTCAGAAAAAAACAATTGGACCAAATGCACAAGAATGTGGAAATCATCAAACAATATCATTAATATCACATACAAACAAAATCTTGCTGGAGATCATTCAAAAATGGTTACAACCATACATCAACAAAGAAACTTCTAAAAAGCCAAGCCAGATGGATCTTGGATGAAAGCAGAGAATACCAGAAAGGTATTAACCTATGTTTTATTGATTATACAAAAGCTTTTGACTATTGAGTTAGTTAATTGTGCCAACCTGGCCAATAAACACATGTGGGGCTAATTGAAAGGTGGAGGGATAAATGGGTGGTGAGCCTCGCCTTTCTAGTTC